AACTTCTACATGCTGAACACATTATTATGTATTTGGCAGGTGTGCAGGTGAAATAGCATACAGTGAGACATACCGTTTTAAACTATAACAGATGAAGAATAAGGTCTTATCGATATTTTAACTGCTGGAAAATTTTGAAAGGCGGATCAAAGGACCGGACAACACTACAAGTGGGAGAAAAAGACGATTGAAGTCGCCATTTTTTTCTAAATTAATTCATGATAATAAATCGGCATCCGTTCAATATCTGAATGGTTCTGGTGCACGGTGTTAATAATTAGGATAATTTATCAATTAAGATAGTAGGGTTCGTGTGTAGATGCTGGATTGGCTTATTGAAGTCACAGCGGCGGATTATGGGGGAGGCTTAGCAGTGGATAATAAGAGAGACGTTCTGGCGGATTATAGAGGAGATGGGTGGATTATAGGAGAGACAGTGTGGTGGATTATAGGAGAGACAGTGTGGTGGATTATAGGAGAGACATTGTGGTGGATTATAGGAGAGACAGTGTGGTGGATCATAGGAGAGACAGTATGGTGGATTATAGGAGAGACAGTGTGGTGGATTATAGGAGAGACAGTGTGGTGGATTATAGGAGAGACAGTGTTGTGGATTATAGGAGAGACAGTGTGGTGGATTAACAGAGGAGACTGGTGGATCGTTAAGCTAGAGAACGCGTAGGTACCTGGGGGTGGTTGGTCATCAGAAGTACCGCTTTAAACATATATCGAGAGGCGTATGACAAGAATAGTTACACTAGGGACAGCGTGAGGACCCGTGGTAGTTAGTTATCGGATGTCTTACGCGGAAGAACGATGTGACCGGACGCAGTGGCGTAGCGAGGTCGGGTGTCAGCCTTGCGGCACTTAATGGTGTCACCCCTCAGAGGCGTAGCGACCCTTCCCCGGACCAAACTTTCAATTATCGATTTGCACCACCCCCCTCAAACTTTCGATTTGCACCCTCCCCCCCCCCCCCCTACCCGCTCAAACTTTCGATTTGCACCTCTTAAAAGACTATTTAACACTCGAATTAATCACTTGATTAAGTGGAATTATTATTTTTCTGTGTATATTTTGCTATTTTTTTGCCTTGGTGTCACCCCCTAAATGGTGTCACCCGGTGCGGTCCGCACCCCCTTCCCCCCCCCCCTCGCTTCGCCCCTGACCGGACGTTATCTCGAACGTCGAGTGACGATCCGCAACAAGGCGCCAATGGATGAAAGACACATCTCCCTCGGTCGGCAGTGGGTGGGGTAACCTTGTGGTATATAATAGGAAGAGTGGCTCTGGTTGAAGGTCGAGCAACTATAGGCCTTGGAGAGTGTCAGACCTAAGGCTTGACACGAAGACGGGCTTATTGGCCAAGCTGATGTCTTGTTCCCGTCAGTCTGCCATCGTGTTCCCGCTGGCACGGTGTCGTCGTAACCCTGGAGGTCGTGTTCGCGTAGCCAGATGTATGTTCCCGTGACCAGATGTCTTGTTCCGGTGGCCGGATTTTTTGTTCCGGTGGCCCGATAGCCAGAGTTTCTTCCAGCCCCTTCTACCCCCCCCCCCCCCCCCGAACGAGATGGATTTTATATAGTAAACATACACTTTTTCTAGTGTCCGCCCCCTCGAAAAATGTTGACCGCCCCCCCCCCCCCCGGAAAATTTCAAGTGCCCCCCCCCCCCCCCGGAGAAAAAAAACTGGAAGAAACATTGCCGATAGCGTACTGTTGCCGGAGGTCTTCTAGCTCTACGTTGGCCTGATAGCCTATGTTGTTTCCGTGGCATAATGTTTTGTTCCTATGGCCGGAAATCGTCCTGTTACTTTGTGTCGGACCATATTAGAGTACTTCGGTGTATTCATGGAACAAATTATATATATATATATATATATATATATATATATATATATATATATATATATATATATATATATATATATATATATATAGCCTAACGATATATATAGGCCGATATATATATATAGGCGATAATGGGATATTAAATATATAGACTATATTGGGGAAGCCAAATCGAAAGTTCGCCCCGGACGCCGGAGTGGGTCGCTGCGCCTCTGAAAGAGACAATGATGGATATTAATGGAACCAAAGTTTTGTAACTAAAAAGTTAACTAGTAGTGTAAGTTAATCACTAATTTTAGGATTAGTGAGAGTTTCTCCAGACCGAGCCAAAGTACCAGGATGAATAACTCTCAGAAACTATCGCAGCATAGATCTAGTAGATTTTAAGAGTTGCAGCCCTTTGTATAACAAAAATGGCGACCAACCAAGAGAGAGCAGGGGTTATTCGTGATGAAAAAACAGGTAGATTTGGATTCTAGTCTCACTAGAGTTTGATTTTAAATTAAAATTTGATGACAAACTAAAAATTAAATTAAATAGTTTTCTCGTTTTTAAAACAGAAAAGTAGAATAGATCTAGAATCTAGATCCATTTTGTTTTTCTATTTAAGTATTTTTTTTCTGCGAAAATATTTTCGGTAATCTCTGACTCTGTGTAATTCTAATCATTCTAATAATAGAATCTATTGGCTAGTACTAATAACACTTCACAGTTCTAAACTAAAAACTTGTTCAATTAAAGATCAACAATCAATCACATTCACAATGCCCAATGTACTACATTGAATGTAGTTCTTTAAATAATCGTTTGAAGCTAGTGAAAGAAAGTTGATTCAAGAATGATTAATGATTAGGCCTAATTAATATAGATCTAGGCCTAGATCTAGATCTAATTATTAATTTAGTAATTTAAAATTTAATATGAAAACTTTCAGCCTCCTCGGCTCATCACTATCCCTAAAAATGTAGATCTATTTAGTAAGGGAAAAACATACACTATTAAATGTAGGACTAGATAATGTAGATATGTTCTGAAAATATGAAACATTCTTTCAAAAAGATGCTATGTCGTCAGAATGAACAGGGTACTATTTGACGCCCAGAGTTCCCCAGCGGTATTTTGGCACCTGGAATAATTTGATTCAACTGTCAAACTATACCAGGCACATCAGCCAATACCCCGTTGTTGCGTAACTGGAGCATCCAAGGCTCCCCCATGAGCACTACGGTATATATGGATATGATGGCCTACTATAATCATTGACTAAACAAACATGACGCACCCGCTAGTGGTTAGGTGACCAGGAGCTCTCACGGCTGTTAAATGTGATTCTTCAAAGTCCGATTAAATCCAACAAACATTACTTTCTTATTACTGAATTTTCAATCCAGGAGAATTGAAAAATTTTCTCAAAAGTCTGGAGATGTCTTGAATATCAGATGTTGTATTATAGAGCACGAGCAATTATATCCCAACTCCTATATTTTAACTGAAAAACTTGTAGGTTATCTTATACACCCAATCATTTCATACAAAGAAAAATACTGCATTTCTGCTAATTATTCTTTTATACTGAAATAAAATATTTATAACTATTACAAACTTTTTGGTTGTAATATAGTATATAGTAGCTTAATATCTCTAATCCTTTCCCTGTATGGTACTAATTCTAACCCATCTTAAAGTTAAAGCAAACGCCTCTTTTACATTAAGCATTTAATACTTCAGCATGTTGAATGTGCAATAATATTAATCTTGCTTTAGTGCTGATCCATATAAGCAAAGTAGATCTGTTATTGTAAAAATTTCCGTAGACTTAAAAGTATTTTTTGCAGGAGAATTGATACTTCCTGCAACACAGCGTCCTGATGGGACATGGAGAAAACCAAGACGTGTAAAAGATGGATACATTCCACAAGAGGAAGTTCCAGCGTAAGTTACTTGAACTATTTTTGTCCCAATTATTCTGCTTTCTTTTAATGTTAATCTGGAGTTACAAATAATTATTTTTAATGTGATTTATTTTAGAATACTTTAGTTGCGTATTGTCGTTTTTCTTCTCTTAAACAAAACTGTGTAACCTAATTTTAAACCACTTTGCAGTTATGAAACAAAAGGCACACAATGGGCTAAAAGTAAACCAGATTACCCCATTGGTCTCAGTCCTGTCGATGTTGAAAAAATGAGACAGGCCAAAAGTAAAGAAGCATCTGAACCAGACACTCATGTTTCTAAGTCTTCAAAAAAGAACGCAAAGAGAAAGGAAAAAAGAAAACAGCAACAGAACACACCAGCCAGCATTTCTAGTGTTGATAGTGCTTCAGCTGCCTTGTCAAAAGCAAGGATCTCACCACCAGAACAAGTTGAAGCCAATAATTCCCAAATCTCCCAAGAAGAAATAGTGAAAAAGATTAAATCTTTGAAGAAAAAACTTAGACAGATTGAAGATTTAGAAGCAAAGATTGCTAGTGGATCATTAAGCAATCCAGAAAAAGAACAATTAGAAAAAATAGAAAGGAAAAAATATATAATTGATGAAATTAATGATCTAGAACTTGATCTTGAGTGATTTCCTGTTCACTTGTTGTTTTTTGTTCACTTGTTGAAGTTTTTGAAGTGAAGTGTTTGAGCTGTATTTCTCTCTTTCTCAGTGGGCATGCAGAGTTAAAAAAATAAAAACCTCTTTAAATGTAGTTATATATACAGGGAAAAAATGCTGGTGGGAGTGTCATTTTAGTTATGCAACTGTACAAAACATGCAGTTGTTAAAATATTATCAGATCAATGTGTACTTCAATACAAAAATGATGTCCTATGCATGTTAGCTAAATTTTTAATTAATTTATTTTTTAAAGAGAGGAAAATGGCTGTAGTTTGATTTTCAGTATTTCTTTTTTTTTTATTCTTGTTTCATTTAAGTATTTTTTTATTTATTTTTTTTTTTTTGGAAATTTCTCATTTGTTTTTTGTATTTTTAAAAGTGCATGTTTTGAAAATGTGCACTTTTTTTTTATAATATTAATTATTACTTCAACATTAGAAAATGTAACTCTAATTTAATAAAAATCAACATTAAATAATATTTTAAAATCAGCTTCCTGAATTTTTACTTATATTTAAATACAGTGGTTGCACTCTTAAAAATGGGAATGTTAGTTTTGTATTTATGATTACTGTAATGTGCAGGCTCTCTTGGTTAAGATTTATGTTGTCATTTTAAAAGGTCAAAATCACAGCATATCCATAGGTCATTCATTAACTTATGGTTATAAATAAAGGTTCATTTTTAATTTATCATGAAACCCATTGAAAAATAAACATTATGCACTTAACTGTTCACTCTGAAACTTCATTGTTAATTAACCATGTAATTACAATTCACGTAAATAACTTAATAAACCCAATCAATTTTGTTGTATTGTGGAGTATATTTTTCACTTGGTCACTAAATACGTTTTTCATAATTTCAGATGTCAGTAAATTACGTATAACCAGCAAATGTCAATTACCAATAATGGATGCTGAAAGTTCTTCTGCTAAACAAGATATGGAGACTATCACATCGGACGGAAATATTTCTACCAAACCGTATTCTACAAGTCTACATTCTGCACCAGAGACTGCAAATGTTGCTGAGATTATTCCTTGTATAATTTCCTCTGCTAGAGCATCATTATCTTTAGAACCACCGTGCAATCCACCTAATGTGCTGATCACCTATGGGGACTCTAATGAAGAACATGACAAAAGCCCTGAGAGAAAACATAAGCGAAATAAAGTTAAACCATCATTACATTCCTCCCAAACAAAAGATCCTGATAAAAATACTGCCAAGGTTAAACTAGATGTATTGCCTAAAAGTAAAAAGAAACTAAAATTGAATACTCAGTGGGCTGAAGAATTAACTGCTTTAACTTTGGCTGTTTCAATAGGGTATGAAAATCCCTATCAGAAATTATTAATGGGTGGAAGTAAAGATCAGGAAACAACAAAGTACGTGACTCCAGTAGAAATAATTCAGCAGCTACTTGATTACAAAAAATCTGGCAAGTGCTCTTGTTTAGACAACTTATGTATACAAGACATAGCAGCTCATAGGATTGAGGTCACACTTCTTGATAGACATTCTAGGGATGTGTTCATCATGGGGATGCTGCGTTGTGCAGTCTTTTCTAAAAAGGAAAAGAAGGCTGGTGGTTCACGTAGTTGTAATAGGTTTAACTACCGCATATTGAACACTAAAATATGTCACGCCTGTTTCCTGCATGTCAATAATATCCGTGGGAAATATATGAAGAATTTAAAGAAACATTTTTCTACTCATGGTGTTACTTCAAGAGTCCATGGTAATATTGGTAGGAAGCCTTATCATGCTATCACATCTGTTGACATCAATGATGCTGTGGATTTTATCAACTCGTAAATATTATTACATTTTCATTTAACAGTTTTAAATTATGATATTTTTTTCAAGATGGACTTTGAGTTTTTATCATGATAATAGCATACACCTCCTATGTGTTCTGTGGTCTCAGAAGAAAGGCTGATGCAATATTTCTAGAGGATTTTATCAGTGCTTTACCAATCATGTATTTTTAGAAATGTGGCCTTGTTTTCTAAAACTAAGTTGTTTAAATGTAAACAAAGCATGCCCTGTATTTCTTGGATTATTATTAAATTATAGTTATTGGGGCATGGGTTTTGTCCACACTGCCGTCTGGACATGTAATAGTGAGGTAGAACGCTCAGCCTCTGTGTCTGCCCATGTATCAGGTGCGTCACAGTACGCTCTTGGTAGCCACCAGTTATACTACCATATCGGCGCCAGGTACAGCCCTTGGTTCAGTTTTGTCATTAAATGTCGTGTTTTGCCATGTCCCTACAGTAGGTTGCTCTTTAAAACAAATCTCACCTTGCTGGAGCGTCAAAGGATGCGCCTGATTTGATTTAGTGAACAATTAAAGTAGCCCATTGTATCCATAGTGTTCTGCTCTCTTTAAAACAAACATTAATGCATATTGGACAAAGACACACACACATACTTTATATATATATATATATGTATATATATATATATATATATATTTAAATATATATTTAAATAAAAATACAAAGCTTGAAAACCACATCAAAAAATAAATTATTACAATTCGCAGTATCAGAATCTTTTAATGTATTAAAATCAATGTATTTATTTTTATTCCAGTTATGCATCAACTTATGGAACACCATCTCCGAAGGCACCAAAAAATGTTCGAGCAAAAAGAGTTATTAGACTTCCAACTGCTGTCACGATTAGATCAGTTCACAAGCTTTACAAAGAGCATTGTGTGCAGACTGGGAAAAGAGATGTGGCTATGGCCTCGTTCAGAAGGATATGGAATCAACACACTGCCCATGTTAAACTTTCAGTGAATGATTCTCCCTCTCCAAGTAAATTAAAACCAACAAAAAACACTACGCCAACACAGACTTTTCAAATGGAAGAACATTTGGCTGCAAAGAATTCGGTAAATGCCAAAAACGATTATGGAAATAGTGAAATGCATATTGCACCATCAAAGCCTCTTTTAACACCAAGTAATTACACTAATAGTGACACTTCCATGACTCCAGGAAACACAGTGACTATGTTCCTTAACAATGGCCATTCCACAGAATTGATTCAGTACAACTATATTTACCCACAGAATATTGTACAACTTCAAAGCAGTGTTCAGTATGACAATCAGAATCAAGTGTGACCTAGAGCAAAGGTTCTCTGATTAACACTCAGCCTATCTAGTCCTAATATAAAAACAATCTGGGTCTTCCAATCCTTGTTTATATACTTGTCTTTTTTTTATGTAAATATTTTCCTGATATTTATTTACTTTAAATTGGATCTGGTATTTTCAATTTATTTTAATTATATTTTTCTTTAAACATGGAAGGTAACAATGGATTAATTCATGTAAGATTTGATTTTAAACATGGTTTGTCATTTGGGTACATGTATATCTTACTTTATTTCTTAAGTGTTTTTTCTACTACTTGTTACTTAGGAAACACTTCAACACAGTTGTTTTTTTTACTTCAGAACTTCCTTATCCAGAGAGCAAATTAATATCTAGTCCAGACCAACTGAGTTGATCATTTTTAGGCTATGAGGTTAAAGTCTGGCTAAGTGGCTATTATCCCCACCATTGGCCTGGTACTGGCACATGGGCCATTGCTCACAGGAAATTAACATCTAATTGCCTTAATTAAATACTCAGTAATTTGATGATTATTATGCTATCTATGTTTATAAAACTGCATGTATGACAGAGTAATATTTGCTATAATTTATTTTGTTAATGATTATACAACTGTCTAGTTTTGTAAACAGAAATTTTATGCACTATAAATTATAAAAAATTTGTGCATCCTGTTTTGTTTTTTTTTAACTTGATTCTTAAAAGTGATGTTTTGGTCAAAGTTTTAATAAAAACTGAAAATAAAATAATATTGAACAAACTTGCCACAAGGAATTTTAGTATAAAGATAACAAGTCATTTTAAGATGGTTATGTTTATTATTTAAACAGCTGGGCCACTTAACAAAATCTCTTTCGGTTTAATACTTACATTAAAATGTAGTGTTTTTAATCCCAATAAAACATTGAAACCGCATTCACGTAATTTTTTTTTTATAGGTAAAATTTATCTGAACATTTAAAAAAAAACCACCTTTTCACTTTCTTTTTAGATTGTAAAATTAATCTGAATATGTAATTTTTTAAAAGATACATTCATTCAAGCATTGGCCTTTCCATCATGGCAATAAATTCTTGCAGGTCAATCACACCATCTCCATTTTTGTCTGCAAATGAAATCATTTCTTGTAGCTTTTCCCTAGATATGTCTTCTCCAAGTTCTTGGTTCACTGCCTGCCAAACAGATTCACATAGTAAAGCTTGCTTAGTATAGGAGCAAATGTCTGGTCATACATAATTATAATAGCTAACTATAGTTAAGAAAAGCTGATGAATTCTTGTGGAGAAACTCCTGAGTGAGTCATAACAATGTTCAATGAAAAACTTCTTGAATGAAGTGGGTGCAAATTAGTGTAAATCTACTAAATGATTTGTTGAAAAAAAAGTGGGTCTGGTATAGAGTGTGATGAGATCATGTCTAAATAATACAGTATATGACTCTGAGTAAAGGTAAATGTAGAGTTCTGCTAAGTTTACCTCTAAATTATCAAGGGAAATTACCCCAGTTTCAGGGGAGCTAAACATTTTAAAAGCCTTTCTGACATCTTCTTTAGAATCATCTCCTGTCATGACCAGGTTTAGTAGGTTATAGAAATCTTTGAAGTCTATCATTTCATTATCAGTCGTTCCTGTTACCTTGGCTGGAAGATAGGGAATTATTTTTAAACGTACGCTGATATAAGTTGCCGCCCTTTGTTGTCAGTATTACCTCCCTTTAAAGGTGGAATAATAATTACTGTCCATCACACATCTGATTGGTAATCTGTTTAAGACTATTACTTGTAGAAAAGCATGGATTAAAATAAATGTGTAGATGTGTTATTGATTTAGTTCCTAATTTGGTTGTACTCTAAAAAACCACTACTAAACTATGCAACTGATCCTTATGTAAAGCAGAAAGGTTAAAACGGAGGTAGCCAACATCTTGTGTTGTGAGATGGGTCTTATACTCCTACTGTTTAGTGCTTTTTCTGAGCCATATTTACCTAAACACTCCATCATGTAGGTGTAATCCAACCTTTCCCCCGACCTCTTGAAATAGTTTTTTTTAAGTGCTGTTTTCTTGAGTATTTTACTAAAATATGTGGGGAGAGTAATAGTCATCACAATTGACACACAGCCAACGATATATTTCTATCTACCAGCTCTCTTACGAAAGGAAACAACAGGAATAAACACTGTGATCATTCCTACAATTATATTATACAGGTAAAATGTTCCCATTTGAGTCCCATAAGGCAGATGAAGTAAAGTACAATGGGTTTTTTTTTACCATAGCATATGAAACGATGGTGTTGTTGGCACAATTCCCTGCCTCCTTCAATTTCTCTAACTGGCTAACAGTCGAGCGCTCTGCCACTCGACAAACTAAAGGTAAATTACAGTGGTATGTTTCTAGCTTCCCTACCGATAAGATCGTCAACTTGGCTGAACTTGGGTTCGAACCCTAGAGCTCTCATCGCGAGCATGAAGCCTCTTTGCTCGATCAGACCACTTCCCCTGGGGTCGAAGATACCAAACGCCTTGCTCAGCTCCAGCTTTTGTTTGGTGGTGAGCTCTGGCCGGGCTCCAAACTTCTTCTGGGGCACCTCCTGCTCGAGCAGGTCTTTCAGATTAGACGCCTTTGCTTTATCGCTTGCTTGAGACATCGTAGCACTGGATCGAAAGCGAACAAGGAAATGTATGTTTGTGGTGGTAAGTATGGTCCTATACAGAAAAGTAGCTAGAATTGGAGGCGCACAGTGGAGAAATATAGGCCTAGGGAGGATGTGCTCTCAGGAAGCAGTAGCCCCCTCCCTCCCCTCAAAGAGATGTCTGAAGGAGACTGGGCACTGGCGTCGCTATGTCGGGTAACACGCGGTGCGGCACTTCATGGTGTCAGCTTCCCCCCCCCCCCCTTCCTACACACACCAAAGGATATATATATATATATATATATATATATATATATATATATATATATATATATATATATATATATATATGGGGGTAGAGCTGTGTGTGAGTATGTATCTATTGTCTAGATTAGATGGTCAATGTGTAGGCCTACTTTTAAGACTTTTAGTTTTAACACCAATTATTCATTTACTGAACAGGCAACAAGCATTTTTTTTCCATATATTTTGCAATTGTTCGTGTTGGTGTCACCCAGTGCGGTCCGCACCCCCCGCCTCGAGACGCCTCTGAGACTGGGGTCTAGTATAGATCCATGTCGGCAGTGTTCAAGCTATCACGACAGTTTGTTGGGAGGGGTGATATTATTTAACTAAGATAGTTATAGGATAATAGGACTATCTAATAACATATTAAATATAATTCACAATTAAACAGCATATCAGACCATGTCAGCTAGACGCCATATCAGTTGATTGACTGTAATAGAAACGGATGCCGTCAACCAAATAGCAACCTATTCTTTATGTATCAAACATCTGAAAACAAGACGCGCTAGATGTTGAAAGTCGCGCTGATTTACAACTGGTGCTATACGGTGCATAACAAATATCCTATTATCCAAGCATAGGTGAAGAAAATGATATAATCGAGGGTATTATTTATGTAGGGAGGGGAGAGTGTTCTGTTTGTGAAGCTGGTTCAGGATATAAGCTCGTTCTGAGATAATGTAGTATAGATAATAGTTCTATAGCTTTTTTGCTTAAATAACGCATGTTACGTGTGTGTGTATGCGGGGGTGGGGAGAGGACAATGACCTTTTCTAACTTAGTGCGCCATTTAGATGGTTTATTCATTATTACACCCCCCCCCCCCCCCATCTATCGATTTAGCCGCGAAGAGATTTAAAAAGAAATTTGCAATGGTGAACTGATGACGGTGACTGGGCCTGACTATCCAAGGGCGATAATCCGGTATTCGATATTTTGATACCCCACACCCTCTAGTACTGTCGTCTAAAGTTGTCTATATTAGTATCAAATGTACGAGAAGCTGTATCTGGAATTGCCTTACAAAGAGCTTTATTTAAAACAGTAATAAGTTTGTCAAAAAGATTTTTTAAAAAGTAGTTATTGGCTAACTTAATTGAAGTGTGATACATGTATATCTATACATAAACAAATGTAATGATGAGGTGGCTAAAGAAAGTAGACCACCAATACATCCATTTGGTTTGAGCCTCTTACTGAGTGAGCCCATTCTGCCTAAGGGGGGGGGGGGGGGGTAAATTCCTAGAACTGTACAGAATACAAAATATATGCAACAAAGGGTATAGAAATGGAATTTACAAAGGCATATATGTATACACACATAAAATTGTGTAAAAATGTGCTGCCTCTTTTTGCCCCCCCCCCCCTCCCCCCCCCCACAAAAACCTGAATACCCTCTGGGTGTCACAAAGTGATGCACACTGTAACTTATTTTTAATTTCAGATGAAAGAAAAAACTCACATGGTATAGAGGAACAATACAAAAAGAATATTTTAATGATCAATTACTTTTATTCATCATTGGAATTAAACAATATGTGATTACTTTTATTCATTAATAAACTGACAATGTTTAAAAATAACATTTTTATTGCACGTGAAAAAAACCCCTGGTACAGTTTCATTCACCCAAGTAGCTTGCAACACAAAAAAAAGCACATTTATTGGTATTTGATTACGCATTTTACAATGCTCACAGAGAAATTGTCTTGGAATTTTCTAGTGAAACAATAAATCATCACAGGTGGGTATTTCTTTGTATACACAAAGCTGGTCAGTGTTTCCAAACATGGTGCAGCCAAACTTTTTGGATAAAGTTAAAGTACATCTCATTCAGCTGGGAAAAAAGTTTATCAAGATTAGACTACCAAAATGAAAAAAAAAAGCCAAATGAAAAAGGCATACAATTAATGAAAGGTCTTATATTAAAATAAAATAGAAATATTAGAAAGCAGTTGACATAAAAAATGTGATCACACGAAGATATAGTTTGACACAAGTAAGCTCCTGAACAGCTTCAATTTAAATGTTACAACTGTTCTAACTTGAAAGACGGCGTTTTATTTTTAAAATAGGTAAAACTATGTTGCATGTTTTTAAACATTATTTTACAAAATTGTAACAGAACATGGAAAGTTATCTTTAAATAACTTCTAATGTGATTTTTGGGGGGAAAATTTGGTAGCAAATGATCAAAGGTTGGAACTAATTTTAAAAGGGTACTAAACTTCAAAGATAAAGCATGTGTATCAAAAAATGTAAGTTAATTCTTACTTTTGCTATATGCGTACTCTAAGGCACTTGAAATAGTCCTCATATCTGTTTCAATACTCTTTGCCCAATTTTCAACATCACCTATTTCCTAAAACAAAATTATAATAATCTAAATGAACATGGTTCATTCTTTTTTATTTATAAGTGACTTAAATATATAGAAAATGACAATAATGTAAATAGAACCTTTAATGCAGTATTAAAATCTTCCACCAGTTTAAGCCACTGCATAGTCTGCTTGGAAAACTGGGCTGCGTTGGCCTGAAGAATGCGGGTCTCTGTATCCAGCTTCTTCTGGTTAACGTAAGCCTGAGCTACTCTGTACATTTTAACACACAAAAATATAAATTTGGGTAAGATACTAGAAATCAGTCAGAATCAGTAAAGTAATTAGGTAAAACTCCATTTTAGTGTATTTTATTCCCCGCTCAAACGGAGGTGAACGTGAAGCGGGGAATAAAATACGCTAAATTGGAGTTTTACTAAATAATTAACATGCCCAGCAAATAATTTTACAATTTTATATAAATAATAATTAATCTGCTAATAATTATGTTACTTTTTACCCAGCATTTAAGTGATCAACCAACACATGTGACAGAGCTGTGGCTGCAGTTATTGCATCTCGTTTTCGTTTATCTGAGTAAAATTATAAACTTATATATAGGCCTATATAATATTATATTATTATAGTATAGGCCTAGTCAGTAGCCTAGTAGTAGTAGTACTAGACATCTAGAGTAGTAGTACAAGTGACAGTACAGACAGAGACAGTAACCTAAGAGTAACCTTAGACTTAGTTTAGTAGTAGTAGTAGGCCTATAAGTATAATTAATAATTAATTAGGACCAGGGGTCTGTCCATACATGATGTCACACTTGTAGGGGGAGTTCCATAATTTTGTGATGGTGTGTGATGGGGGGGGGGGGGGGTCCAGATGGTGTGAAGTCATTTTTTTGCATTATAAAAAAGCAGAGTTAAAAAAGATTTTTAGCTGTTATTTCATGTTTTAGAAAACGGTTTTAATAAATTGTAATAGGAATTGACAAAAAAATACTCTATGTTGGCAGAGTTCTGACAAGATTTTGGAAATATATCGATGTTTTAAGAAAAATTCAACATCAATTTGGGGGGGGGGGGGGGGTGTCGGCTGAGGTGTGACGTCATTTTAGGTAAAAATTGGCAAAAAAGCGTGACGTCATTTATGGATGACCCCCCCCCCCCCCCCCCCAAGGCTATTTACTATTTACTAGTTGAATAAGTAGATCTGTACTATAATTTGATTATTTAAGCCTACTATTAATAATTAATTAATTAGGCCCTATTAAATTTTTATTATAACTTTAATTTAACTATTTATTTAAATTTAGGCCTAACTGTCACTGAGAACAAAAAATTAAAGTTTGTCAGTTTCAGTTTGTGATATTGATCATATTAAATATTAGGCCTAACATAATTAAATTTAATAACATATTCATTATTTTATTATTCATTCATGAATAATGGCAAAGTATTGAACCTTGAATATCTTTACGAGCTTGTTGCCTTGACTGGTGCTGCTTAACTAAATTGGACAGCATATTCAAACCATCCACAAATTATTGTCTACTTAGAAGTAAACTAAACAAATTGGCCCAAGAATGAGTATAACAGACTATGAAGTATGAAGAGGTTGGTAAGCCAAATCCGGAAATAAAAGTTGTTTGTTTACAAAGCTGCGTTTTGTTTTACCAGTTTGGACTATCTTTGTCTGCTAGCATTTCTACTTCAGAAATATATTCATTATAAGTAGATTTTAAATAAAATGTAAAAATAGGTTACGTTTGCATGAGATAAAATTTCAAATTCTAGTTTAATAATCGTATATTGTTTTCTATGAGCAGAAGTAAAATCTTTATTACTTTCTGTGACGTTTTTCGATCACTACCTGCTAGCTCCTGGCCATTTTTGCTCAAACATTTCGCTAAATCTTCTGTGGTGTAGATCTAAATTGTATCTTATCAAAACGTAGAGTAGATGTAGACATGGCACTGTGGACACTTGTTTTAACTGTTACTTTAGGATTCACTTCAATTAGTGGGATCAATTTAGATGCCAGATTTTCTGTGATCAAAAAAGGAAAAGATAACAGCTATTTTGGATTTTCTGTTGCACAGCATCAAATTTTGGATGGGAATAATGAAGTGCTGCATAATGTGTAAGTCAGTCTTCTGAATAATTATAAAGTGACTAAAGTCGCACACTCTGTCAGATAACTAGAGATATTTATTACTAGAGATTTATTAACTTTAAACATTAAAATAGTCTAGACTTTAGGCCTATAGGCCTAAATATTTCTAAACTTTATTCTAGACCGACTAACCTAACAGGTAGAGCCAGTGTGAGTAGAGCTATGATCATACTATGATGAGCCATGAGCATCTTTTTCCGGCTAGAATCTAGATCTAGAATCGGCCTTCAAATTTACTTAATTTAAGATTTCCTTTAAATACCTTTTTAGTAGGCCTAATAATATTATTAAGTAGATTAGTAGATTAACAAGATACATACATAAATGGTAGATTTAAATAGGCTATTAGAATAGGTTTTTAAAAAATATTTTATACTAACTTATAGACTAGAACTCTTTGCTAGGGTATAGCCTACTTTATATACTATACTCTCAACCCGCCCGAAGCGCAACTTCTCGACCGCACAGTACAGATAGTTTTGTCAGAAGAATAAAGATAAAAGAGTAATTGATCCCATTGCGCAGCTATAAAAGAATAAATTTAGTCCATTACGCAGCTATTAATAATATTTAATTTGAACTCATTGTGCAGATATTTATAGGTCATTGCGTTTTGTATCTTCTGCTGACCAGATAGCGCTTGGGGGAAAAATCTTTTTCCAAGTAGTCATTTTGTAAATTAAGTTAATAGATTCTAAAGAACAGTTAAAAAATCAATGTTGTGAATTCAAGATGACAACCAAACAGTTGAAGGCATTTGATGGGTTTGAACCCACAACATCAGCATGACTGCCACACATTGCTCCATTCGACCACACAACTTCATGCCTCACACTGCATTTTTTACATTAAATGTATTGTAACAGTTTTGACTGGGAACAGCACTAATAATACTATTAATACAACTGTTCCCAATTAACAAGAAATTATAGATAACTGCTGATTCTCAGCCCATATCCACAAAGCCATTTGATCATTATTTGTAAAATTATAAAGTGTGTCTATGCTGTCTCTTTACTAAAGATACTGCACACTGGTACAAATGCACATGTAGGCCTACTCCATGTATGGTGACATCTTACTGTTGAAATGCCATGGAATCTTATTTTAAAGTGGTCCCAATTGGGGGCCTATTCAATATAAAAAAGATATTAAAACAAAACATATTGGTTATAACAACTGTACACTTGCTTTAACTTGTTTTACTTTAAAGTTTTGTTTTAAAGCAGGATTTTTATTATTAATATTATTTGTTTTTGCCCTTCTTGTGTTGGTTTCAATTTATTTACTTTACTTTCCACCTTCTATTTGCTCCTGCAAGTATTTTTTAAGAATGTTATAGAGTTGACCACTTATATTTGTATTTGGATAAAACTGCTAAAAGAAGTAGATTTATTCAAATTGTAATTTACCATTAAACCATGTCATGATTCCAAATAGTTTAAAATATTTTAAAGAAAAAAGGAGAAGATAATCTAAAGCACTAAAACTGGCAACCATGTTTTTTTAATCTTTTGCTTCTCTGCTTTATCTGATAACCCTCAGTTACATGCTCTTGTGGGGGTTACATGTCAAGTGTATGTAACAAAGGACTGCCTTTACCCTTGTCTGCACAAGAAGAGTTCATGTCCTTAAGTGTCTGAATCTCTTTAGTCAGTGTGTCAGTGACAGCTTGTAAACATCCGAATCTCTTTAGTCAGTGTGCCAGTGACACTTTGTAAAGTCAGTGTGACAATTAGTAAACCTTTATAGAATTTAGTTTACAAACAAATCTTGATATGAATATAATGTACATGATTTTATGATTTTTAAAAAAAGTAATCCTCCCTTCTGTTTTTTTCATTACGACCTGGGGGGGGGGGGGGCCAGGCGACAACTTTAGTGAAACATGCACAAATTTGCATATTTCACATTTCTAAAATTATGCAAATTAAAAAAAAAATATCGACATTCTTAATCCTGACCAAATATTTAAAACTCTTTTTAAAAAATTGAGAGGGTTAAAAAAAAAATTGAAATTGGGGGGGGGGGGGGGGGTGTGTAGTAGGACGTCTTTTTGTGGGAAGTGTGACTTAGTTTGATGATGAAGTAGGAGGGGCGGTGAAACCGGGTACAGGCCGTGACGTCATTGTTGGTCTGTTCCACTCAGGTGTTGAATAACTGAATTGGACAAATGTACAAGCAGGCTGTTTCGCCTGTTAATGTATGGCACTATTTGTAAAACGTATCCACTTTTCTTTGTTTCTTGGCTCCAGGTTGTACCCTCATAAGCTCATCGCAATCCACTTCCTTGTGTCTGTAGTGAACTTATTGGCTGTGAGCGGGTCGGTCTATACAAGTATCATGTTATTCAATGTATAAGTATTGGACAATTGCTAAATTCAACAATTAACTCTGGGAAGTTGTAATGAATAGTTAATGGGCCCTCAAAGGTCAATCGATGGAGAGCAAGTTTGGCTATCTTCCTGCCTTATGAGCACGTGTTTGTGATGCCCCCCTATCTTAACACCACCACTCCTCTGATAATTGTTTTCCCTGGGACAGCGCATGTTTGACCTTTGGGAACAAAGCGCAGTTAATAGTGGCATGAGTCGGTGCTGCATTCCTAGAGTAGGGTGTAGTACTATAACTGTAGTGTGTAGTACTATAACTGTAGTGTGTAGAGCTAGTGTAGGGTGTATTACTATAGCTGTAGTGTGTAGAGCTAGTGTACGATGTAGTACTATAGCTGTAGTGTGTAGAGCTAGTGTTGGGTGTAGTACTATAGCTGTAGGGTGCAGTACTATAGCTGTAGGGTGTAGTACTATAGCTGTAGAGCTAGTATAGTTTGTGGTGGTGTTGATCGATTTCACATTCCTATAGCTGTAGTGTGTAGTACTGTAGTGTGTAGTTAGTGGTGGTACGGGTCGATTCTACTTTCCTAGTGTAGGGTGTCGTAATATAACTGTAGTGTGTAGAGCTAGTGTGACTAATAGTTGTACAACTAGTGTAGTGTAGAATCTACATATACGTAGTTTAGACAAGATATGGTAAAATATTCATTAATTTAAGATGACGTACGTTTTAGATGGTTTATTTATTCTCTCGGTTGAGACTGGAATAAACTGTCCAAGAATAGCTCACTCCTGGAAATAGGAGTTTCTTGAAGGGACGGGTAGGGGGGCGGGTTGTGAGGTCCTAAGGTTATATTGCTTAGATCCCTATTTCCTTCCTGACTTATGCATATCTATTCCCGCATTTACATTAGAGTCTCATTATTCACGTCCCAAGGCTATTCTGGAATACGCTTGCTACAGCCTACAGCGGGAGATGGTGACTCGCGAGCCGATTCTTAACACGGCACGGCTAGGCAGATAGTATTGTTGACGGGTTTATTTGATAAAACAATCAACTCTATTCACAAACATGCACTCACACACTGCCGTACCTCCCCGGGGCAGTCACCCTCCAGCCGCACGTCAGGGGGTGAGAATGTGTGCCGGGTGTTCGTGTAATCGTGTATGGAGCTACACCGCTGTGCACACTATCATGTGTTGTGTTGTTCATAAGTAAACCTGGTTCAAAGGACCGCGTTAAGACTATAAGACGGGCACGCTGTCACATTAGTCATTGCAATGTGTAGTACATTCCCCATCAGTCAGCACTCAGATCATACACATCCGTTCTTGGCTGTATGACGCCAGTCTCTTTACAGTCTACATAGTTGCCGCATCAGCGGTTGGCTCTTCGCTCCATACAATTTTTTTTTTGTTTACCACATAACATTGGCAGTACACATCAAATGTCATCGCATCTTGTCACAAACAAAAGCTCGCCATGGCACACAGCTTGCAATGCCGACTCAACTTGTCACAATATCGCTCATTTACGGGTAGATGTTGATAGTTGAAATAATTTAATTGGCTGCTAATTCAGTGTTCTTGTTACATGTGGTCTACTTCATGAGAGACGGCATTGGTTTTTTTTATGTACGTCCGTCTCTTTATACCAGAGAAAACAATGCCGTCTGCCACTGTGATCTCTGTGTACCAGAGAAAACAATGCCGTCTGCCACTGTGATTTCTCTATACCAGAGAAAACAATGCCGTCTGCCACTGTGATTTCTCTATACCAGAGAAAACAATGCCGTCTGCCACTGTGATTTCTCTATACCAGAGAAAACAATGCCGTCTGCCACTGTGATCTCTCTATACCAGAAAAAAACAATGCCGTCTGCCACTGAGATTTCTCTAAAACAGAGAAAACAATGCCGTCTGCCACTGTGGTCTCTCTGTACCAGAGAAAACAATGCCGTCTGCCACTGTGGTCTCTCTGTACCAGAGAAAACAATGCCGTCTGCCACTGTGATTTCGCTATACCAGAGAAAACAATGCCTTCTGCCACTGTGGTCTCTCTGTACCAGAGAAAACAATGCCGTCTGCCACTGTGGTCTCTCTATACCAGAAAAAAACAATGCCGTCTGCCACTGAGATTTCTCTAAAACAGAGAAAACAATGCCGTCTGCCACTGTGGTCTCTCTGTACCAGAGAAAACAATGCCGTCTGCCACTGTGGTCTCTCTGTACCAGAGAAAACAATGCGGTCTACTTACAATAGCCGGCCGTTGTTTGGCGGCCGTTACATTACAGGCCATCAGGATAACACCCCCCCCCCTACAGTAGGTCTAGTCCAGGTATTCGCCCAAAGGTGTGCCTGTTAGCTGTTAACCCACAAATATCCCGGCCTACTTAAATATGTCAGTCCTGCTCCACTAACCGTAAAATTGCGATCCTTCTACCGGTGTCTGTGTGTTTGTTCCGTTACAGATAAACGAATATGGTAGCTGCTGTAACGCTGTTTTAAATATTACAGCACAAATACAATTACATCTGTGTATAAAACCCGTACATACCACTCTGTTAGAGCGAATATTATTGCACATCTCCCTCTGTTATGAAATCATGTAGCACCCACCTCCCTGTTATGGCA